GGAAGAGTTTAGAAAGTATTTCCTACCCGTAGATGCGGAAGACGAAGCCCGGGCCAAGCTTCGTCGTCTGCACCATAGGGAAGGACAAATCCGGGAATACGTTAAGGAATTTTCGGACTTGATGCTTGAAATTCCGGATCTCTCGCCCAAGGAGGCGTTCTTTACTTTCATGGACGGCCTCAACCGTTGGGCCAAACTTGAGCTACAACGGAGAGAAGTCCAGGACATCGATCGGGCGTTAAAGGTGGCCGAGTCGCTTGTTGAGTTCCAAAAGAAGGATAGCTCCAAGGACAAAGGCAAGAAGCCGTTCCAAGGCAAAGGTGGGGGAGACAAAGGGAAGTCTTCCACACCCGCCAAACCGGCAGCCGACTCTACAAAGCCGTCTTCGAGCAAGGAGACCAAGGGGGACAAGCCAAAGAAGTTTCAAGGGTGCTTCTTGTGCGGGGGAGCGCACATGGCACGTGATTGCCCGTCTCGTTCGAAGTTGGCAGTATTAGCACAAGGTTTGTGCCAAGAAGAGGAGAAACGGGTCGCTTGCATGAAACGGCTAGACGCCGTGCATGCCAAGGCCGAGACACGTCAAGGCCGTCCTTACATGGAGGCATCGTTCGCGAACGGGTCTAGATGGGGCATGCTAGACACGGGGGCCGACACGAGTTATCTCACGGAAGAGGTAGCCAGTTCGCTTGGCATTAAGTGGACACCTAGCAAAGGCCGTTTCAAGGGCGTGAACGGCGAATGGACGGGTCTTGTAGGTGAAGCCAGGGATGTGCCTCTTAAAATCGGCAACTGGTCAGGTACGGCCAATTTCTCCATTGCACCTATGGATGATTATGGTCTTGTGTTTGGCATGGAGTTTTTAGACCAGGTAAAGCCGATCATCGTGCCTAGCAATGACACGATGGTGATCCTCCAAGGCGAGAAGCCTTGTGTAGTAAAGTTTAGACGGGAAAATGAGATTAGCCCTTCCCAGCTGAACAAGGGGCTAAAACGGGGTGAACACACCTTTGCCGCCATGGTGTTTGAGGAGGAACCATGCACAGAGGAGCCGGCAAAGGAGGAATGAATCCCGCCTCCCATAGAGCGAGTCCTTGTTGAGTTCAAGGACATGATGCCCAACGATTTGCCCAGAGGTCTTCCACCAAGGAGGGAGGTTGATCATGCCATCGAGTTGGTAGAAGGGGCAAAACCGATAGCCAAGGTGCCTTATCGTATGTCCCCTAGCGAGCTAGAGGAGCTCAAGGTGCAAATCAAGGGGCTACTTGAATCGGGTCATGCAAGGCCGTCTAAAAGTCCGTGGGGTTCGCCGCCCTTATTCCAACGCAAGAAAGATGTGACGCTACGTTTCTGGATCGACTATCGGGCGTTAAATAAACTAACCGTGAAGAACAAGTACCCTATCCCACTTATAGCAGACTTGTTCGACCGGCTGCAACGGGCACGGATCTTTTCCAAGCTAGACTTGCGGAAGGGATACTACCAAGTACGCATAGTACCCGGTGATGAACCGAAAACGGCCATGGTGACGAGGTATGGCTCTTATGAGTTTCTTGTTATGCCGTTCGGTTTAACTAACGCCCCAGCCACGTTTTGCACTCTGATGCAACGTGTGCTAGCAGATTTCATTGATAAGTTTGTTGTAGTATACTTGGACGACATCGTTATCTATAGTAACACAATGAAGGAGCATGTGGAGCATCTTAGAGCCGTTTTCAAGTCCTTAGGAAAACCAGCTCTATGTTAAAAGGAGAAGTGTTCCTTCGGCCTTGAGGAGGTGTCGTTCTTGGGACACATCATTGGTAGGGGCAAAATCCGCATGGATCCGGCCAAAATCAAAGCTATCGTGGAGTGGGAGGTACCCACGAAGCCAACGGAGCTGAGATCGTTCTTGGGGCTTGTTAATTACTATAGGCGGTTTATTGAAGGGCACTCCGCTATAGCCGCTCCACTAACGGATCTTTTGAAAAAGGGGCAAGCTTGGTGTTGGACACCAAAACACCAAACAGCGTTCGAGGCTTTAAAGGACGCCGTCACTCGAGAGCCAGTCCTAGCTCTCCCTGATTTTGAAAAACCGTTCGAGGTGTGCAGAGACGCTTCGGACTTCGCCATTGGGGGTGTTCTCATGCAAGATGGTCACCCGATTGCCTTTGAAAATCGCAAGCTGAACGAGACCGAGAAAAGGTGGCCGACGCACGAGAAGGAGATGTTGGCTATAGTTCACTGCCTTAGAGTTTGGGAGCATTACTTGAAGGCCGCCACACCGTTCAAGATCAAGACGGACAATCGGGCAGTGAGCTACCATCAAAGCCAACCTAAGCTTTCAAGCAAGCAAGCACGTTGGTTGGACTTCTTGGCCGAGTTTAAATATGAGCTTGAGTATAGCCTGGGGAAGACCAACCACGTGGCCGACGCCCTAAGCCGAAAGGCGTGTCTTGCTCCAATCATTAGCATACCCGAGGGGACGCTGGTTGATCGCATCAAGAAGGGTCTTGAGCACGACCGTCAAGCCCAAAGGTTCATGGAGCTCGTGAAGGAAGGCAAGACAACACGGTTCTGGCTTGAGAATGGGATACTTTATGCCAAGGGGAACCGTTTGTATGTGCCCACATGGGATGGACTTAGAAGGGAGATTCTAATGGATTGCCATGATAGCCATTATGCTAGTCACCCAGGTACGCATCGCACACTTGCCTTAGTCCATGAACGGTTCTATTGGCCTCGCATGCGGGAAGACGTGGAGACGTATGTAAGGACTTGTCTAGTTTGCCAACAAGACAAGACCGAGCAATACCACCCGCATGGCTTGTTATCACCCTTGCCTATTCCGGAACGCCCGTGGGACAGCGTTTCGATGGATTTCATCGTGAGCCTGCCCATTTCCGAGGGTTGCACCAACATACTTGTTGTGGTAGACCGTTTGTCTAAGTATGCGGTCTTCATTCCCGCCCCAAAAGAGTGCACCGCCGAGATAACGGCCAAACTCTTTCTTAGGTATGTGGTGAAGTATTGGGGGCTGCCTACATCGATCATAAGCGACAGGGACTCGAGGTTCACCGGCCATTTTTGGCAAGAACTCTTTCGTTTGCTTGGGACGGAGCTCAAGATGTCTACATCTTTGCACCCGCAAACAGATGGGCAGACGGAGCGCATCAACGACCTCTTGGAGGTGTACCTCAGGCACTATGTGGCAGCCAACCAGAAAGATTGGGTACGTTTGCTAGACGTTTCCCAATTTTCCTATAACTTGATGCGGAGTGAGAGCACGGGCAAAAGTCCGTTTGAGATTGTCCTTGGTTTCCAACCAACTACGCCTAAGGACATTCTTGGAGGCTATAAGGGCAATAGCCCACCCGCATACAAGTTTGCCAAAGATTGGCAAGAACGGGCCGACGAGGCAAAACTCTACTTGGAGAAGTCGGCCGCACGCATGAAGAAATGGGCGGATAAGAAACGGACCCGTCGCGAGTTTGAAGAAGGCGACCAAGTCTTGGTGAAGCTTTATGAGCATGGACGGAGCCGTGGTCTACACAAGGGTCTCATGCGCAGATACGAGGGTCCTTTCACCGTTCTTAAGAAAGTGGGTTCGGTTGCTTACAAGCTGGAGCTACCCGAGGCCTTTTCAAGGCTTCATCCAGTCTTTCATGTGAGCCTACTTAAGCCATACCGCAAGGACCCAGAGGACGAAGAACGGAACGTTTCCTCAAGGGCACCAGCTGGCGTACGCGAGCATGAGGAACGGACCGCAGAGGAGATCCTTTCTAAGAGGATCGTTCGGGGCAAGAGCGGGGCAGCAACTAAAGAATACTTGGTGAAATGGAAGAATTTGCCAATGAGTGAGATGAGTTGGGAGCCAATCGAGAAGCTTTGGCAATTCACCAAATTGATCGAGGACTTTGAGGAGAACCGTGCACCCGTTCCTATCAACATTGCCTTCAAGACTTAGGTGCATCGGGGCGATGCACCATTTTGGTGGGGGAGGATGTCACGGACAGTTTTTCTTCACCACGAATTCGGGTGGTTTGATGCGAAACAGGCTATTTTCATAGACGGACATGGGACGGAACGGTCTAGAGCCTTGTGGAATTTTCCGGTCAAATCTTGAAGACTCTGGAATTTTCTAGAGAGGCTCGGAACTCTCTAGAAACGGGTGGAACCGTGTGGAAGCTACCCGAGTTTGCTAGAACCGTGTGGAAGATTCTAGAGACTTGTAGATATTTTGAACTTAGAATATTTTATTGTAGGAATTCTCTAGAATTTCATTATTTTATTATGTACATAGAATTCTCTAGAATTCTTTAGGACTTGGGGTTTGCCTATAAATACCCCATGCCCCCTTCATTTGTAATCCATCCAAGCTTTGAGTAGAGTTCTCAAGCATTCCTTAAGCTCTCTTGTGCCTTCATTATTCTTTCACTTTCAACCTTTCTTAAGTTTTTCTTTGCCTCCGTTCTTTAAAGTATTGCCTAGCTTTGCACGCTTTGGGGGTCTTAAGGCTGAGCTAGCACTTGATCGTTAGTTGTTTTGTGCTAGTGCCGCACGGCCGTTACTTTGAAAAAGTAAGCCCGTGACACTTAGACCAAGACAAGTTGAACGGGATGGAAAGTAGGTACAGCCTTACGGCAGTGCATCCCCAGCTTCCGGAAAGCTTCGAGAGGGATGATACACCTCCACCGGGGAAGATCACAATTTATGAGAAGTTTTTGGAATACGGGCTGCATTTCCCACTTATGCCCATGTACAAAATCAAAGTAGAGGCCTTCGGAAAACCCTTAGCCCAGTACACCCCCAATTGGATAACTATAGTTCTAGCCTTCGTCCATGTGTGTATCAGGACGAGGGTGGAGCCAGACATTTTCCTCTTCCGTTGCTTCTACAAACTTGTCCGATGCGGGAAGAGCTTCCCCGGGTGGTTTAGCTTCCCCACAAACCCCCGGGGTCCTTCTAAAGAGCTGGTCTCCAAGAACGAAAGTTCTAAGCAGTGGAGGTCGGGTTTCTTTTATATGGATTCGGATTTAGTCGACCTCTATCCGTGGAGGCCGGATGAAGAAGGAACAAAAAGTTTGGATCCGTGGACCAAAAAGGACAAGAAAGACTTTGAGTCCAGGAAGAATGACTTGGGAAAGTTGGTCAAATAGCACAGGACATACAATCACGGGCAGATTGCATCGTCGAGTGACACGATCAACTCCAGGAACCAAGGTATTTTATCCAAAGGCTAACTTTGGTGTTTTCTTCTTTTGGTAGGTATTATTGCTATAATTTGATGGGTAAACACTCATCTTTTGATGACTCAGATGAGAAAGAGTTGTCCCCGATGCAGGGACCAGCCACGGGGATGCAGAGGCTAGCCATTCACGTGCCCGGTCACCAGCAGGAGGAGACCCGAGACGACGGGTTGAGGAAGAGGGGATCGTCCCAGCCGTCCGCAGGGCCTCACAAAAAGACAAGACCCTCTAAAGAGGCACTCGACGTTCAGCCTCTTGCCTTTAGCATGCCCTCCATCTAGGAGATCTCCGTAGATCAATTGCTGCAAGAAGGGTACGAGGACCGAGGGAAGAAGTTGAACTATCCCGAAGCTATACCTGAGGGTCATGCTTTGCTAACGTTTGACCCTCCGAGGCTCGAATGTTCCGACATTCCTGCTCCTGACCAACCACAAATAGACGACTGCATGAAGCAAGAAGTTTCGCATCTTAAACACGTAGCATGTAATAATTTCTGGATCTAATTCATTATACTGGTAATCAGGCCATGTAGGCAATATGGTCTTTTGTGAGCCTGTGTACGACCCTGGACCATCAAGCGACCTCGGCTAAGAGGAAGGCCTTCAGCAAAGCTTCTAGCATCAAGGAAGCCAAGGCGCAAATTCGAACCCTGACGACAGAGAGGGAACAGTTGAAGGGAGAAGTGCTAGCTGCGAGGGCGAAACTGGAAGAAACAGCCGCAGCCCACGCAGCTCAGATGGAGGGTCAGCAGTCCACCGCAATATCCAAATCTGAGATGGACCGATACATTATCGCAGGTATTAGAAGGTAGTTGGGATCCAACGAGTTCACTCTCGGCATAAACGATGTTATGGATCCAGCGATGGAGAAGGGGGCCCGAGGCGTGGTGCTGGAAATCGAAGCGGCCGGGAAGAAAGAAGAAGATATCCAACCCGTGCTGGATAAGTACGCGGATAAGGATATGAAGGGTCGGACATCGGCTGTACGATTGAGATGCAAGGCCTGCAAGCACTTCCGGGATATGCACTTCGGTCGCCTTCTCGTGGTCCAAGAGATGTCTCGGCTTTGTCCAACCATCACCTCACCCAAGGAGATCTTCAACATCCCCGGGGAACCCTCCGTCGTCTTCAAGATGCCAAGGGGATCCTCACCCCTTCAAGTACACCAGCGGGGCTAGACGAGGAGGTCCCCACGGAAAAAGAGCCCAAGACACCCCTGGGCAGAGGCAATTCCGAGGGCCAAAGCGGAGATGGGACCTCCACCGATTCCAACGCCAGTGACGGGGACAAAGTGAATAACGCATAGGGTTAGGTTTCCTAATTGTAACCGCGTCATTTAACCTATAATGTAATTTAATCCCATTTGAATCCAATGACCCGAATATTTCCAACGAGTTTTTTATTGTCTTATCTTTATTTCTACGGCCCACAGTGGTCATGAGATGACATCTATTATGACTTCGTCCACGAGATCCAAACTTAACGACTTACATCCTCTATTTACATTTTGCTTTAGGGAAAGAAAGTCGCATCATCACCGACCGAACCTTCTGAAGGGAATTCACGATCCTTACCACCGACCCCTAGAAATGGGTGAACTCTGGTATCCCGTGGGTGGATATGCAGCTACCGGACCCGTACTTTGACCCGAGGACATATCCCCTTTATGCAGTCATGGGCGGAGCCTTAGAAGAACCTTTCGCGGATCAAAGTCGTGGAAGGCTCTCCGAACTGGAAGACCAGCTGAAGGAAACCCTGAGCACCCTTTGGGCATCCGGGCTGGACGAGGGTCAGAAGGCGGTCGTGAAGCTAAAAACCAAAAACGACCATCTGGATAAGCCGTGGAGAGATACAAAGGCATACTGGGAGGACCACTTGAATAACTCAATACAGCTGGAAATGTTGGCTAATGAGCATCTTCGGAAATTCAAAGCTAAGACTCGGAATAAAGAAGAAAAATGATGTCTTGCCAAAACTCGACCTCGAAGACTTTATACACCGCAATTAGTACGAAAGCGTATTGGTTCACCTTCAGAAAGCCTACGCTTTGGTTGCGGTGCAGTGGGACCGCGCCTCTGAAAAGATAGAATCTTTGCGGGCATATATAGGTCAGCTTCAGGCGGCTCTTGAGGGCGCGGTATTGTTTATTGTGGAATTGGGAAAAGATTACAATTTCACAGTGTTGTGGCCCGAATCTTGCCCCGCCATGAAAGACGACCCCACTTCCCCTTCTCGTGAAGTTGAGCGCATAATATACGAGAACGACGCCCTCTTGCACGAGTTGGGGCAGGGGTCACACTAGGTGTATTTTTGTTAGGGCTTTTTGAGGTACTTTTGTAACTGCATATGTCCTAGGCGCATACCCTCGAAGATAGGAAATAGAATTGCCCGTATTTTTGCAAAAGCCGACCCCATTTCTTTCCTTTATTCATCTATTTCCTTTATCATAGGTTATTTAATTACTTGTTTTACGGTTGTGTATAAAATTCACTAGGCTACCGGAGAACGACCAGGCTATCTGAGGGTGGCGTCCTATCTTCCCCCGAATTTTATATTTTGAACTGTAGTACTTTAACAAATGGGGTTTTGATTACTAGTAGGAAGCGTACCTCTCATCCGAGAAAGATGACCGCTAAGGTGCCTATTCGTAAGGCGACGGGAACCTTTGGCCACAAGGGTCGAGTCGGATTTGTAAAAAAAGCTCCAAGGCCACGGGGCCCGTAGGAATCCTGTTGGCCGTGGGGGCCATATGGTGTTGTTGGCCACAGGGGTCAAGACAGACTTGTAAAAAAGGCTCCAAGGCCACGGGGGCCGTATGAATCCTGTAGGCCGCGGGGACCATATGGTGCCGTCGGCCACAGGGGTCGAGACGGACTTGTAAAAAAAGGCTCCAAGGCTACGGGGGCCATAGGAGTCCCGTACGCCGCGGGGGCCATACGGTGTCGTCAACCACATGGGTAAAGATAGACTTGTAAAAAAGGCTCCATGGCCACGGGGGCCGTAGGAGTCTCGTAGGCCGCGGGGGCCATACGGTGCCGTTGGCCACAAGGGTCGAGACGGACTTGTAAAAAAGGCTCCAAGTACATAGGAGGAATCCGTATATTGACAGTAAAAGCAGTTACATCCTCATCCCCGAAGCAGCCAAAATGGGGGACATAACTATTAGAAAAGGTGGGGACGACCCTCAAACGTGAAACTTCTTAAGATCCTGGATGTTCCACCATTGGGGAATGCTGCGATGCTCGTCTTCACATTTGCGCAAGTGATAACTCTCCTAGGGCGACACTTCCACAACCTTGTAGGGTCCTTACCAATTAGGAGACAGTTTTCCCGAAGGCTCAGCATGGCTGGTGACGAGTCCAATCTACAATGCCCTCAACCATGGCCGGCTCAAGTTTGAGAAATGATCCAACCGACTATTCAAAAGCTTCTAGGTCGGTTCTTAAATTACTTTTCTACCAAGAAAGGGTTTCATAACCTAACTCTATAAATAGGGATCAACCCCTCACATCAAAGGTACGCTCTACGCACCACAATTCATACCCTTATTACAATTACTCTTACTAACTTAAGTATCGGAGTATCTACCATCGGGAGACCCCGAGGCCCTCTTTTGCAGGTTTTAGAGTTTTGATACCGCCATAGCTGCTGGTTCAATCAACTGGAGACGTCGGTGCAAATCTGTGCTTCGTCAAGTGACACGCCTGGTGGGACCCAATTAGGGTTTTCTCCTTCAACAAATTATCTTGTGACAAAGGGGGAAATTGGATCGAAAGTCTACATTAAATTCTTGATGGCGAAAGGCAGAGTACATCCATTATCTTAAAACAGCACAAGTTCAAGCCGAACCACATCCAGGTTTGATTACAATCTATGTGCCTCTTGACCTTCGGTTATTATATTAAAGTGATCAATGATTAAATCGGCTGCCAATGATCATTGTCTGTACTTTGAAACATTGTTTATTTTTGGTTTTGGCACCGTGAGGCACTAAAGACAAATCCACTACTACATGGATATTATGATTTGATTATTAATCCATTATATTAGAAACCTTTGTTATTCAGATACATCCTTGAGACTCTATCGAACGTCTCTTTTGGAGGGTCGAATACAAGGATCACGAAAGAACCCCAAATTAAAGGAAAGTGGAACGCCCCGTGGGATCCGATTAGGGTTTTCTCTTTCAACAAATTATCTTGTGACGAAGGGGGAAGTTCGATCGAAAGTCTCCATTCAATTGTTGATGGCGAAAGGCAGAGTACATCCATCATCTTAATATGGCACAAGTTCAAGCCGAACCACATCCAGGTTTGATTACAATCTACGTGCCTCTTGACCTTTGGTTATTATATTAAAGTGATCAATGATTAAATCGGCTGCCCATGATCATTGCTTGTACTTTGAAACATTGTTTTTTTTTGGTTATGGCACCGTAAGGCACTAATGACAAATCCACTACTACATGGATATTATGATTCGATTATTAATCCATGATATTAGAAACCTTTGATCAAACTTCTCTTTCGAAGGGTCGAACACAAGGATCACGAAAGAACCCCAAATTATAGAAAAGTAGGGCGGCATTGGGTGTGCAGGTTTTTCTCCCCTTATCCTTGTGGATGTCATGAATCATGCATGTTTGAACGAGGATCCATGCCTTATTATTTTAAATTACAATGTGTTTGGCTGCATAACTTGCTTAAGGTTTGCATTGAAAAATCAAGTCGTCCTTTGAGTGAGAGGTACAAACTAGATTTAATCATGACTTAATTTCACGTTTAAACAAACTTGAGCATGAACACCATGTTAGACATACGTGGGAAGGCAGATCTATATGTATAAGCCAAGTAATTGGATATTTTCTTATATCTATGTGAACTTTAGTCAACGTTAATGCATCCATGGTTAACACATAATCACACCTGCAAAACACCAATTTATATAATGCCATATATAGCCATGGATTATGAAACATATTTTCATTGCCGAGAACTTGCATATTTGGGGACATAATTCTATTTGCAAAAGAAATGTCGGTTGCAACTTTGATCGCATGTGGATATGGTGCTTATTTAAACTGGAAATTACTTGATTACTTAAGTAATATTGTTTTCGATTGTTGGAGCATAGGAAGCATTGCTCAAATCATCTTCAGGTATGGTTCGGGTTTATTCATTAATACTACAAAATATGCAACATCAATAGTGACCATTGTAGTTCGAGTTGAAGAAATAATTTATTGTTTGAGGAAGACAAGATCCTTGGATTTTCACAATATTTATGACGCTTAGGCAGTTCACGAACTTGATTTGTGGTGAAAAGAGAATCAGCATGATCTGCATCGTTGTATGTGACTTTAAACAAACTCTTTAAAATCTGTTTATACTCACAACATCAGGTAAACTTCTTGATTTAAGATTTTTAGTATTCCTATTTTCAACTCACGGTACTAACCTTCTTATGCGTTGAGTACCTCAACGGATGATTTCTGCAAGGAAAACATCCTTAGCAATTGTGCCCACGTTCGACAGTACAAAACCATTCGAAAGTGCGGATTTGGGCATCCCTTTCTGAATGATACAATTAGCAAGAAACTTTGGTAACAGATAAGTCATCGAACTCAAAACTGCTTGATTGCGTTATTAAGCAAACGTACTTGAGAATCTACACAATGCGCATTAGCGCTCAGCGAATCACTTCTAATGCACATTAGAAGTTTCAAATAGATCTGATGCTCTCCCGCTATACTAAATATATTTGGTTACATGCAATAATCAATTCTTGCTTGAGAGTCCATTCGATTCTTATTAGAAATACCCAATAGTTGTCATATTGAAAAACACAATATAATCTTTACAGCACAAGGCTACCTCAACTTCATCCGGAAGACACCAAAATATTGTTATAACGATTTATTGACTCACAAAATCAGAGCTTCTCAATCTCTGTCTCTGTGGCTGTATGAAATGTATTCTGAGGAATGCCTAGTTCAGTTAGTCGGACAACAAGTAGACTCAACATGGCCAGCTTAAAGACTCAGCTTGACAAGCTCTATTGAACCTCTGTATCGAGGAGGAACTCTGCTGTGCTTCCACATCGAGGAGGTGCTTTGTTCTGCTCTTGTGTCGAGGAGGCACTCATCGAGGAGCTCAACATCGTAATACTCGTGTTAGATGGCCCCACTTCAGAGCCATCTCATAAGGGCTCATTCGAGCACTCAAATAAGTATCTTCAATATTGATGTTGGATAATTTACTTATTCGCCTCACAGACATGCTTGAAATACTGTTAAGACCTCCATGAACAACTTGAGTACATTTTCTAGTTATCTACTTTGTTCGAACAAGTCAATATGATACCTCTTCATAAACTCTTCAACTTTGAAAATGGTTTTCGCTTTCGTTATTTTGGGGGTGTATGTGCCATAGGTCATAATGAAGAACGACTAAATGGTTGATTAATAAAATTTCTTATAAACTCATATCTCATTTGGCATTAGATATGATGCTCCCCTACTTTTACTAAGAGTCAGATTGAATTTTCTCATGAAATATTTGTGATCTCAGTAGATCTCATCTTTTCTAATTGACTAAATATGTTTCGATTTTCTGACTCATTATCGAGAATCAACTTAATTCCTATTATGAGATAACGATTATGAATAAATATTACTATGAATTTGTAATCTCAATTGTATAGTACAACTTCTTTCGTACAAATCCTTTTGTTAAGGAGAGCCAGTGGATCAATTTGGCCTCAAGTTGTTTGACCTACAAACATCCAATAAAAATCATTGGGGGAGGATATACACCCATGACAACCAGGAGTCTCTAAGATTCAGTGAGATTGTTCCAATCATGAGCATTTATAATTATTCCGCACACACATGTTCTTATTGGGCCATTACTTAGTCGCCATGCGGCTAAAGTTGATTCACAAATCAAGAGAGATATTTCATG